GCAGTAAAGGACGCAACGCTACGGGCTTGGATGACACCATGTTTAGCCGACTGGTTTTCTCCGGGCGCATTCAAGCGGCCTCCCGTATGGTGCAGTCAGGCGGAGTGGGTCGGGTCCTGAGGATGGAGGACTGCGTGTCGGAGGACAAGACAGTCCGAGACGTACTTCTGGAGAAGCACCCTCTTCCTCAATTGGCTGCGAAGGAAATTCTGCAGCCTGACGAGGCAGTTCCAGCGAATCCGATTTTATTTGATCGAATAACGTCACAACTCATCAAAACCACCAGCAGATCAATGAGCGGCTCTGCTGGTCCCTCCGGTATAGACGCTGAAGGGTGGATCCGCATGCTGACATGTTATGGGTCGTCGTCTAACAATTTGTCCTCCGCGCTTGCTGCCTCCGCGCGCGTCCTTTGCACTGAGGATATAGACCCATCGTGCACCGAGGCTCTTACCGCGGCTCGCCTAGTCCCTTTGGACAAATCCCCAGGGGTGAGACCTATAGCCGTTGGGGAGGTTTTCAGGCGCATTATGTGTCGCGAGAGCACTTTTCTGCATATTTTGAGGGACGCGAAAAGCACTAAGTGCGAATTAAAAAAGCACCTTTGGGAAAGCTGGCTAATGATGGGGAAGTTTGATGTTACTTACTGTATACCATGAAGTATGTACTAGTACCGGTATACTATTTTAAGGGGGCAGCCTACCCATAAATTTCATATGGCATTCAATTGACCGTAACTTTGGTCTTTCTCAGTGGATTTGAGTGAAATTTTGACCACACACTCCTGCCACTATGCTGGCCCTCAGGACATGATTTACAAGTTCTTGCGCCTCACTGACAGACTTTCCAGGCCAGAAAAACTCAAATTTCCGGCATAGTGCCACGCTGTCCTCTCCTGAGAAATGTTCAGCAAAAATTTCAAAACATACGACATTATTTCGTTCGCTAATCTCCGCTACTCGTCGTCTCACCTGGCTTCAGAAGATGTTACGAGAGATAGGAGAGTCTCCAGCAGGCAGCGCATCCATCTTCAGGACGTGGAAAGAGCAAACGGCATGGTCCTTGGTTGAGGTAAATGCTGAACGTTTGATTCGTCCCAACCAAGATTTCAGCACTTGGTTCGTCACGATTTTCGCTTGCCAGCTAACGTCTCCGCACTCCAGCTTTCCCCTGTCGGTGTCACGTCCCAGTACACAACGGACAGGACTACTAATAAACAGTTCACGGCACTAACAGCCTTGAACACAGTACTTCTTTCACTTCGTGAATACAAGAAGACAACTGAAAATGACACAATTCTTCACTGATCGACCTCCTCTCTCACGGAGCTAAGCAGAATGTGCGTCATCACCTGTAGTCGCCATGGAAACGGGATCAGGAAATCGGCGATATGGCAAGTTTCCCTTGCCGTACGCAAGCGAGAGACATACCATCGGAACCGATATCCAATTGCCTTTCATCTGAGCCCTACTTGAAAAAATCGATGCACTTCCCCTTTAAAAGTAGCTCAACTCTGTATAGTTTTTGTTTTGCTTTTTCTTCTTTTTTTCTTCCCTTTCTTACTCTTTTTTTTCTTCCTTCCTCTCTTTTACAAGTTTCCCATCCCACCGTATCTCATCACTCAAGTGAAAACAGGAAACCCCCTCGACAGGCTGTTCGCCTGTCAGAAGAAACCGTAGGCTTTTATTTACATTTATTCAGTTATTTAGAAATACCTGAATAAATGTAAGTAAAAGCCTACGGTTTCTTCTGATAGCTTTATCTTTACTTGTACAGTGACTTGACTGGTCTGATCATTTGTTGGAGTAAAACTGTACACTGTTCTCTGATGGTCACGTGTTTTCCATTTCGTCACGTGTACACAGTGCTGAATGTTGTGAAGTTGTTAGTTTAAAGCGGTAAGTAGGCCTTGGCGGATAATGATGGCATAATTTCTGGCATAATCTTAGGATATTCACGGTCTAAAAATTATGCCCTGGCATAACACTTTAATAATATGTATCTAATATTGACTGAGTACGAGGTCCAACGCATATGGCCGATTGGTTTGCAGGCCTGCCTGCGAATCATGAGGTCCCGAGTTCGAGACCCGCGCTGGCAGCAGGGAGCGTGTAAAAAAGACTTTTTACGCGTGTTGAACTGCGCCGACACCCACGGTCAACTGGGTACTCACAGCTCGAGTGAGGATAACAAGGATGCAGTTTACAGGGTTATGGGCCGTTACACGCCCGATTGGTTGAGAGACTCACCTCCTCTCCCCTGACTCACTTGTGAGGTCTGCATTCGCCACTAAGGTGTAAAGGCATAGTGGTGGCCTGCGGAAGCGAAGGCTATAGCTTGTGTGTTTCTGAACATTCAAGTGATGCTAACGCGGATCCCGCGAATATTATATTATTATTACGAGGTCAATATAGGAAATAAAAGCCGAGGTCTTTTACGAGGTTTTTTACTGACCAAGTACGAAGTCAATATTAGATTTATCACGACAAACAGTCCGTATTTCAAATTCTAGAACGATAACCTCATGAATCCCGGTTTTATGATTGCACAACCGTTGCACCACCACCTACTCATGCAGTAACAATGCTGCACTAGCTAGGCACCGTTCAACTGCGCAACCCCATAAGCAGTCAATATAGCCCTAAGCAGTCAAATATAAGCAGTCAATATAGCCCTAAGGAGTGAAATATGCAGGAATATTTGACTGCTTAGGTATAGCGAAAACCAATGGGAGTCAATGCTAAGGGAGTGATAAAATATAATAATCTTTATTTCAGGATTACCCAAAGGCTGGCGCCTATCTTTACCAGGACTCCTGAGGCCAGACGCCGGGCAAAGCCTTACGATGCTGGCTGCAGGCATATTAATTTGTCCAGGCATGTTTAATACAGGAAATAACCGGGTGAATGTTACCCCTTACAAGCCGTGCTGTCATGGTGCCAGAGTCATTGGAACGTTGCCAAGTGCAACAAGAGTGCAAGGGTACAGTGTAGCACCATCATTGGCATAATTCCAGCATAGTGTACATGTACATGATGTACCATAATCAGTGGCATAATTTGGGCATATATAAATGGAAAGCATTATGCCTGGTTGGTTGGTTTCTATTTGCCTGTCCCAGAGGTCACGACTAAAACTACGATCAAGGTTAGGCATGAGCGGGTAATGCTAGTTATTTGCTGCGATAATGCTAAAGGCAATGCTCATAATATGAGGATATAATGCCACTTATAATGCTCACACTACTCCATAATGCCAGTTTGAAAGTTGGAAAAGTCGATTAAAAAGAAGGCCGTCTTGGATCAAGGCCAAAGCGTAGAAGAAAAAAACTTAAACAGCAGTGAGCATGTTGTCTGAAACAATCCACTGAGAAGATTGATTTGCAATGTCAAGTTTCCGGACGAAGTCGGATGGGTTCAGATGCACGATTTTCGGAACTGGACCTAGCCAGCTTCATGCATGACACTGTTGTTGGCTGGCAATTATGTTTGTAATGCCAATTTTGCATGCGAAATGGTGTTATAATACCAGCATTATGCCACCTGGAAAAAAGGGACTATAATGCCAGCCATAATGCTAGCATTACCCGCCCATGCCTATTAAGGTTCCGTCAAATGACCGTGGATAAGTCAAAAGACCGTGGATAAGTCAAAAGACCGTGGATAAGTCAAAAGACCGTGGATAAGTCAAAAGACCGTGGATAAGTCAAAAGACCGTGGATAAGTCAAAAGACCGTGGATAAGTCAAAAGACCGTGGATAAGTCAAAAGACCGTGGATAAGTCAAATGACCGTGGATAAGTCAAATGACCGTGGATAAGTAGATAACCTGTACACGTGCACAGGGACCGGGGCCGGGGTCACCACAATCCATCATATTGAACGTCCCTACAAGAGTATTTATTATTATTTATTCTAGTGTTTACCTTCGCCAGGTTTTAGATTTTTCCAAAGTGTTCCGCCAGATTTCAACTCAAAGCTCGACTAAAATCCGGAACCGGTAACCCACAACAGGATAGACCTACAGTGCTGCTCAATGAAATCCAGTTGCGTCACCATGGTCACGGGTTGCGCGGCCCGAGACCTGTGAAGACTGGGCTACGAAAAGGTGCAAGACGCAAGCTTGAGTGACGAAACTTGATTTCATTGAGCAAGACTGTACTTTATTAAACAGACTGTTCCATAGCACACCTTTAGTAGGTCACTGCCACATGGTTTCAATTAGGTCAGTAATGACATTCGCCGCTTTGATGCTACTTCAGCATTGGACGGCGTCTGAAGTTGCAAGCAGGAATGCCGTGGATTTGGACGGTTTTTCATTGTCAGAACGATGAGGAATGCCCCATGTTCACCCATTCATTCAACAATACATGTACGCTAGTCGGCGAGAAACAAGCACGCCGCTGTAGACATGTGACGAGAGAGAGAGAGAGAGAGAGAGAAAGAGAGAGAGAGAGAGAGAGAGAGAGAGAGAGAGAGAGAGAGAGGGAGGGAGGGAGGGAGGGAGGGAGGGAGAGAGAGAGAGAGAGAGAGAGAGAGAAAGAGAAAGAGAGAAAGAGAGAGAGAGAGAGAGAACGAGAGAGAGAGAGAGAGAGAAAGAGAGAGAGAGAGAGAGCATTTTTCCAACGACCATACTACTTATTATAATTATGCCAGTCTTCAAGAGAGATTGGAAGCTGTGTCGGAACTCTCTGTTTCACGTACCACTACGATCATCAGGCAACTGATGGCTCCAAAATGGGCAGCCTGAACATAAGGAGCAGCAAGGTGAGAAATCCTGAGGGGTATCACAGCGCAAGAGTCAGGTGCAGGCGTGAAGTTGCCAAGTCTTGAGACTTGAGGCTATGCAGCAGCATGCCAGTCTAGGTAGCTCCTCCTCCTGTAGGACAGGCAGAGGCTTTTCGGATGGATGCACAATTGTACAAGCACATGAAGCACAACAATACCAAGAAAATCACTTTCCAAAAGCTTTATGGACTCCACGCCACTACAGTGCTTGAAGTACAGTTGGAACATTTGTATTTCGAGGTTTTGCCTGCACAATTCACAATGTCATGTCATACCTTTACTTAGTCAATTATCTTTGTACATTAGGTCAATGTCTTGCGCGCTCGCGCGTGCGTGTGTGCGCATGCGTGCGCTGCGGCCTGTCTTGGCCTCACTCATCAGTGTCGTTATAGAGAGAATATAGCATGGAGTTCCAAGGCGTTTTGTGGATATAGAAAAAGTGATAGGCATGTGGCTTGCCGCAACTCAACTAAGAATATGAGGGACTGAGATGGAAAAAAGAAAGGAAGCAGGCGAAAAAGGAAAGCCGAGGGAAAAGTTGAATAAAAAAGACAGATGATTAGCCGTACACGTCAAAGTTGCATTTCTACTTCACTCCTGCATTCACGGCCATTAAGCAAACATGGTGTACAACGTTCTGATTAGAGATTCTCTACGCAGGGGCCGCGTATCTCCAAATCATTCACATTCATCTGACACAATTCCCGTGGATGCTATGTGAGGCGATCAGCGGAGCTTCAATTCGAGTTTTTAAAGGCACCTGCGATCTCTATGAACTCGTATTGTGCCCTAGGTTTAGGCGGCACAGTTCCTTCGTGCCCATTTCTTCACCTTTTTACGCAGTTTGTTGTTGGTGGGGCGGATCACGGATCGCACGTTGTGAACCGTGAGCGTGTCTTGCGTGACCCAGCCAGTGAGAATGTACTCGTTCTGTTTGTTCAGCTGCGGGCAGTCACACAGGTTTCTCGCGTTCGTCGTCAGCAGGGCATCCTCGCCAGGGCGCAGCTGGCGCGCGATGCTGCGCGGAATGACATTCTGCTTGCACTTGGACAGGACTTGGGTGATGTGGACGTGGAGATGCTTACGACCGTTCGTCAACCCGGAGTCGATCAGGCGGGCTTGAATGGCTGCGAGAACAGAGCAGTGCAGAACAACACAAAAAGCATATCAGTAATTTGTTCTGATACCGTAGCATGGACTGGTTGCTTTGTGGCCACTTAACTTACTACACAGACTTGTGGTTTTCAGGCCCATGGCCACTTCTTTCCCGAAGATGCCATACCGCGTGGAGGATAGTAGAGTGACATACGAGAGGGAACCGTGCAGCAGAAGCAATAGCAGCAGCAGTAGCAGCGGAAGCAGTCACCAATAGAACCAACAGAGTACTGCATGCGTCACCAGTAGCATCTCTAGTACTATATTACTCACCAAAATGGTACTGGGACTTCTTGAACAGCTTCTTCTTTATAGCCGGTGATGCACATGTCTGTCGCGAGCATCCCACTAAACGAAAGCAAGAAAAACACAGAGGATACATTGAACTCGTGAGTAAACCGGGCCAGGAGGAGCAGAACATGATATGAATCCAGAGATTGGAAATTACAATCATATATTCATCCTCCGTTATCCCCATTTGGAACCAACTGCCTGCCTCAATCATTTCCTCTCGTCTGCTCCATTGAGCACTTTTCAACTTCCCCTGGAGTCGGGTAGATGCACCCTTCCCTACCCCCTACTACATTTACCGTATATATATGGGGGGAGGGCCATATATATACGGTACATGTAGTAGATTGCATGATCGTAGTGTAAACTCACCTTCTCTCTCGAAGGTTGGCTGGAAGGTGTTGGGCGGCTGTGGAAAGCAAATGATCGTCTCGCCATTAGGGCCAATAGCCGTGGGCTGCTCCTGGAGCAGGGAGCAGTTGAGATCTTCGGGCCAGGGGTAGTGGAAGCGACTCAGCACCGGCATGCACTGATCCTTGACTCGATTGCACAGTGAGCGACACGGTGTGGTCATATGCACCTCCTCCTGGCGTGGTCTATTCTCAGACTCATGTTGTGTACTGGGCAATGCGGATTGGGGTGGCACCTCGGCACAGATCGGGAAGTAGAGCGAGCACAGCAGGAAGGGTAGTTCCCAACTGCAGTTCGCTTGCACCAGCGAATCCAGACCTTTCATCTGCCTCAGGGCATCCGACTGGTTCTGGTGGTTGAGCAGGTTGGGCATCATTGTCATGTTGTAGCCGAAGCCCCGGCAGTAGTTCTCGGCTTCGCTTCTCACAAATGACTGGCACTGTCGGCCCCTGGTGTGATCAACCAGGAAGTACTCGTAGGCGCGCAGGTAGGTGGCCGAGAGCTGGGACAGTGCCTGCGACGCCTGCACAAGAGACACGGATAGTAGCAAGGCTAGATGGAGGGTACTGAGTGCGGCCATTGTTGCGAGTCAGTACTGCAGCCCGGTAGGCTATCCTTGGCACTGTGTGGCGGCTGCTACTGCTGCCAATCTGACTGGAGGAGGTAGTGATGCCCCCTTCTTGTTGCCAGCTCTGCAGATGAGCATGAAACAGAAATAGTGAAACAGTTCTGTCAGTACAACTCACTGTGTTAAATTAAGGAGTTAGCAAGCCCAAGCAGTACCTACATGTGTGTTTAGTTGTAAGCGAGGTTGCCTAGCAGGACCTCGGGGAACAGGACTGACTAGGAACAATAACTAGAGGGCGAGCCTGTGTCCATCGGTGTTTTATTGGCCAGTTCTCGGCCCTGCCACTGGCTACATACATTGTTCACCGGTGCACGGTTTTGAAGTGGCTTTAGGACCGGCGCTATTCCCGGAACCCCGGTAACAAACTCAATTATTGCAGTAGAGAAATGTAGAAATCTTCTCAGGCCAAGGGTCACTTCACTCGGTCAGTTCAGCTGCGCGAAAGTGAGAGAACCCCCTGCGGATGTGTCCATTTAAGAACACCCAGTGGGAATGGGTGAATACCTCGCCGCGCAACTGCCACTGACTGCCGGCCATATTTTCGAATCTCTAGCTGAGATAAGAATGCCTGTTTGGATGTCTGAGGCAGTGACGTGATATCAAGCAAAAGCTTTCCTTGAAAGTGGCAAGGACGGAATTGTAGTCATTGGAGTTTGTTAGTTTGTCCTACCCATAGTTGATATGTGGCAACGTGGACAATTTCCTAGGGCAGACAAACAGTCTAATATACTATCCATTACCATTTGCCCAAACATGCATGTTTGCTGTTTGCCATGCAATCCTACGAGGACGGTGTGTGTGTGTGTGTGGGGGGGGGGGGGGGGGGGGGGGGGGGGGGGGAGATAGAGGGAGATCTCCAGACTGAAATATTGGTAATGTTGCTACAAGGCAGGCATCTAAGATCTTCAGGCTGTGCATAGTGCCCTTTGTCCACTGAACAGAGCCAGTAATACAATACTGAAATAGCAACAGTACCACTAAGTCCTTCCTTGACGTTAGTCGGAGTTTTGTGCCTTTCGTACCTGAAAGCACTCATCAGACGCCCCCCCCCCCCCCGCGCCCCTCTGACAAGTTTTTTTAGCTCTTTGTTCTCGGACACGAAACTTCGAGTAATGGCAAGAGAGGACTTGGTTGTAGTGTTGCTGCTTGTGAAGCCTACCTCAGTCCTCTCCTATTGGACCAATAAATGAACCTACCGAGTCATATTCTACTACTTGGGGGATCCTTCCTAAACATCTGCCCAATACAAGAGAGTGTGCGACTCATTGCACAGGAACTTGATACCTAGACCTGATGGAGATCATACAATTATTATTATTATTATTATCAGTGTCTAGCAGAGGAACTTGATACCTAGATCATATCAGTGTCTTGACGCGAGTATTTTCGTGTTTCATAGCAGAGTCTTGACACGAGTATTTGGTGAACCACTACCGGTACTTGCAAGCCGTACCGACATTGAATTCTAGTATAACACGATGCATCGTCTCGGCTTATCTCATCCAATGTGAGCCCATATGGCCATGTTGCATGTCTGTGCTAGGGGCAACCAGCTGTGACACCATACAGCACTGTACGGTACTGAGCATGCTGCCTGACGTCTAGGCAGAACAAGGAATAGTCATGTACTTGTGTATGCTCGAGTACGTTTCTGACCAAGAGAATACAATGTTTTCTCATGTAGTACAATGTTTTCTCATGTACATGTGTACATGAGAGTACGTACATGTATGTCAATGACGTCATTTGTTTGTTTACCTGCGGGTATCACCGGTAGTTTATCCGATTTTGAGGAGTACCAGGAGTGATGGTACAAATGGCCTTACACGTTAGGTTTTCCACTAGCTTCTATGCCGAATCATCAATTCATCCTCACGCTACATGTAGAATGTACCAAGTCTGCAGTACTGCTAATTGGACAGCCGCATACAGAACACCGTGCACTTTCTACCCTTCATCCTTCACTGACTTTTGCTTGGTCGCTAACGCAGCATCCATGTACCCCTAGCTGTGATGACACCCACTTCATTCTTGATCGACCCAATGCACTGGTTTTCCTGCTCCGCTGTGATCTCCCGCTGCTTTGCCATGTACACTCCATTTGGCATTTCAACCAAATTTCTAGATCGCTGCCAGTCGATATCAACAACTGGCAGATTTACAGAACACCACATGCACAGGCAGAGGTACTGCTCACGAGTACGAGTGCAGGACATAAACCATTGGCAGATGAATAGCGTCTAGGCGGCACTGGTCTATCTGGAACAGTGGTACCAGGTACAGCGGCAGCTCAACTCATCAGACACTCACTGCCTGCCTCATGTACACGTATGCAAGTGTGGTGGGTTGAAATACATGTATGGTCTGGAGCAATCGTTTCGCTCTGCTCCAGCTTCCCAGATGGTATGCAGAGGATAGAAATGACAACATCACGACAACACAATATTTACATGCATGTACATCCAGCTATATGACTGTTTAGTCTGCTCTGGATTAGTACAAAGATAATGATGGGACAAACGTTTACGAGGAACCCTGAGTACAAGCCATACATTTCTCTAGGCATACGATAGGCAACATCCGTTCTGATGCATAAGCAGTGGTTCTGCCAGTGATCGACTTAGGGTATCAAGTACATGTAAAGTGCTGGTAACTGAAATCCGACCACTTAGCGGTGCGTCCACATTCTAGCGGTCACTGTTTCGTAGTTTTACCATCCCGTACCGTGTAGGGTCTTTGCGATGTGAGCGCACCATTCAGGGGTCGGATTTCAGTTGCAAGTACATGTCAATAATAGATGTACTCTGTGCCCCGTCTGTAAAGTAAAAAGGTGGTAATGGCAGTCGAAGATGCACTAACCCAATATTGTGATCACATCTCTTCAATATGCTCCAATTATTTGGCTGGAGGGCTATGTCCTGACTCCTGTTCTACATCTTTATCCACCACTACATGTCCCCACATGAAACAACATGATGGGATTACTCCACGCGTGCATTCAATGACGTATCGTGTTGACTTCATTTGCCTGAGGCAAAGGCACAGCGTGAACTGCAAAGCTGACGTCATATCAAGTTAATGTCAAGCTGAGTGCATCAAACTAAATATAGCCGATGAAGTGACGCCGAGAGTAGATCAAATCAGTTAGTGAGCGACAACACCCCCCCCCCCCCGCCCCCCATCTCTTCCTGTCTTTCTCGCAGGCATGACTATTTTGTGTCAGAAGTGATGAACCAGCTACGGTAGCGGAGCGCTCATTTTCAGTCATACGTTTTATCCCAACGCCAAAATGTGTAGTCTGCTGGTCTTACCGAGTATTGGCTTGTACCAGTATCACCTATACAAATACCTCACCCTAAAACTACATACCACTATTCACCACTACAGACGTGCACTGTCGAAGAACACCAAGAAGATTACGTATCCTAATACTTCAGTACAAACTGCAAGTACATCCTGCATGGCGTCAAGTGTTGCACACAATCTCACTCTTCCCATGGAGACATTGTTTTCTGTTGCTATGATGTGTCACGTGATCTTCAAGGCTTGATCGTGCCCCTTGGGCAGCTGGAAAGGAGGACTATTTCCTTCCCATGTCGTGCCTCTACGAATGCGATAATGAGGTCTGGAAGACTGAATGGTATTATCCAGACCTGACAAGAGTCCAGGGCAAAGGTCTTGATAACGCTACTTGTGCCTACTTCGAAGTATTATTATCTCTAGCTTACACCATGTAGCGACTAACGTGGACACTGGACTGTGCTGTCCCTGGTCATACACAGGGCATGGAAAGCTGCTGGAGAGGACCAAGGCTTCTGTGTGATGATCCTGCTATGGCCAACTATAACTTAGACCCTTGTTGAAAGATGATTCTCTAGCACTGTCTGACGTGAAAGGATCCGATTTCTGGTGTGATCTTCACTTCAGATTTGTTGAAAAATGGGATCGAATTTCGACTTGATAACGACCACAGACGGTGCAGTTGTTACCACTTGAAAGGCAGGCATGCACGCGATTTCCACGGAATTGTGCTTGCGATAATACTCTTAATTTCAGAAAATTTAGTTGCTACAATATACATGTACCTACATTGCTATGGCGCACAGGTAACTGGATGAGGCCAATATACAACTCTTGAAGCCCATCTGGAGCGCTCGACTTAGGCTCACTCAGTAAGAGAGATGTCACACTCGGGAGCACAACAAAGCTCCACTAGTCCTGTACTAGACACGAGCATGCTAGTGTATACCAGGAATAAAAAATGTTTTGCTTTTCCTTTAGTTGTTGTGTCAGGCCAGTGATATCATGTTCACTGATTGCCCGTATAAGAGGTTTATTCAACGTCGGAAAAAAAGAATACCAGGATGATCTCACACTCAGGGCTTTTAAGGGTACATCATATTATCTGCTACTGTACTAGAACGTATACTTAGTGGCTCTAGCATCATCTCACGGCTCTTTGCATTGCATTTTGGAATCTTATGCCACTTACAGTAAGTAGTATTCACTGGTAGCGAGCACACACACTTGTATAATTATGAATGGTTGCAGGACCTACCAATTATCCGTGGGTTAAACCCACTAAAGCGACAACTTACTTCGCACAAGTGCACCAGTAGACCTCCACGGACAATGTCCACTTTACGAAATGAAAATCAACCATCAATCAAGCGGAAGTAGCCCATTAACACACTGCCTAGTAGGGTGGTCATTCAGAACCAGCCAGCATAACTACCGTTCATTCAGAATTTCAGATGATTCGCACTACTGACTGTCGCTGGTAAAAAACGGAAGTTGATTCTCTCACAACTACTCTTGACATCGTCTATACCCGTACGCTACGGGTTTATGATAAAACTATAAATTCTGATCGAGCGGAGTTGTGCTGTGGGAATCGGAACAAAAGCTATCGCTGCTTACCAGCACTACGCGGATGTCGGGATGTAGTTTATTTAGTATTTCCAATTATTTTCAAATTCCGTGAAAGGCTGTTTGCAGGCGGTACAATGCTGTGTCGCTATAAAAATGATTATGCTGTACGGTGACTATACCTACAAGACAGTTAGGAGTTAGCAAACAGTGCGTTCCCCGATCCCTTGGATCCCATGTTGTTGAAGCATTGCGTCATTGTTGCGGTCACGTGACAGAGTCATAGAGTGTCATCCTGTTGTCTTGATGTGGTTCTCTTGCAGTTGCACTGCAGTATTGCTAGTGCCAGGGCCACAGAGCCATTATACTAGGCATTAGCATTACTAGAGGCACAGTGTCAGCAACTACTTCCTCTTGCTCAAGACACACGCTGCTCAACAACGCAAGTAGATAAAGATTCGGAACATGTCTGTAAGCACAATTAGAACTACCATAGCTGATGCACAGCCTGCATCTCAGCATTAGCACCCTTTACATTACAATCTACATGACCGATTGTACTAGTAGAGAGTGGAGTTGTCAAGTTGTTGCCATGTAGATTTCATTGCCTGTGTCGCGGCTCTTCTCCAAATATGCCGCACGGGCCAGGTAAGCTTCTGGCGCGCATACTGCGTTGGTTGTCCTAGCACGGCATGGCACTGCACCACAATGCATACACTTGCACTCAGCTCTTCGCTCTACTAGCCTGATAAGGGTACGTTGAAGCTTGCTGAACTTGCACCCAAGCCTTTGGGTAATACTATTTATGTGATGAATCTTGGCTTTCGTAGTGGGCCCTTGAGCGGCTAATTACATTGAATTTGTCAGTCCTGCTGACCAGCACATGGTGGTCGTGTTGGTACAGTCACCACTGCCATCAATCGCAGCACCTGTTACATACCTCCGCCAGCCTCTCAACGCCTTGCCAAAGCTGCTCGGTCCTCAGCAGTTGTCTGTCAACTTGTACTTGTTGCTAACTTCTGTGCAAAGCCGATTTCTTCTTCACCACAATGCCATTTCGGAGAGGATCTTCCGCATGATGCACAATTACAAGAACTCTGCTAATGTCGTTACGATCGTGTAACTTGCTGGCAAAGTACAATGTCGGTGTTCTTTATAGCAACGAGTATTACATGCCCGTCCAATTCTAAATTCACAAGATTGAAATCAAATAATGTACTTTGATGCATGTGGCTGCTGCAGCGGGTTGCATTGAGGTTTGATAACCGGTATGACGTATTACCTGGGCCTCTGGGCACCATCTCCAGCATTCCGCCATGCGCTGATCGGCTTGGCATTCCAAGACTACAAGACTACAAGACTACATTGGCAACTGCCCTTCGGATACATGTAGGTACCATTGACGCATGGATCTCGGGCCTATGCCTATGCTGTATGCTTTTTAGAACACGGAGGCTCCACTGAAGCCAATTCATAATATGAATTGGCTTCAGTATGATCAGTCACCACCACTGGCACTACATAATCATTGCTGTATGCTTCTGTTTAATATGCCTCCCCTGGGTGCTGAACGTTGACACACACGATGATGAAGCCAAATCTTAGCTGAACGGATGCATTGGTTGGCATGATGCATGTTTTTACGACTTTCACGCTGAGCCTCGGGGCAGCTAGTTCAGATATTACTTGAGAAGCCAGGGATCACGCTTCTCTCATGATCTTAAGAATGATGGGTGGTATAATTATGTCTCGACGGACGACAAACGTGTGAGAACGCCATTCGGATTGGAGTGTCAGTGATAATTCTACCCGATTGGCTATTATTACTAGTAGATCTACATTGTATCCACAGCCCAGCATACGATCACGCAGTGAAGGCATAAGAGTTGTGGGACTTCAACGTAGATGTAAACGTAGTATCCCAGCACAACAGACTTGCGTACACACATGATGCCAGTGTTACCACCGTCCAGGTAGATGTCCTGGTATCATCATCCCAAGGGTTAGCGTCAGAGTGTAAGGAAATAAATTCAAATAATGAAATTATTTCCAAAACAAACATGGAACCTTGAAGCTTGTACTCCTGCTCATACAATGTATTACCTACTATTTATCCATGAATGCCTACTTAACCGTGACAAACTATTGATATTGCTTCCAAGACCATCAGGAGCCATCCTCCCGCTTTTCGCCAGGATTTCAAGGGTAATTTGCATGCACAAGTGAGGCGTTCCTGGCTCGCTCTGTATTTATTCAACAAGCACTCGATGTGTAGCATTGGCAAAGAGCCACTTTCCACTCCACACGACTGCGTCCGAGCACACATACATGACTACATTGTAGTCATTGCCTACCATAATTATACTAGCACATAGCAGTAGTACACTCTATATCTATGTGACACACACTATTTGCCTATTGTGATGACCAGTTCGATGGCCAAGGTTGTCCAGTGCATGTAGTGTTGTTGGTACATACGTGTTTACAAGCCCTGAAACTCGTGGTGTTGGATACCCCAACTGCCGCAGGCTACACTGGGTGTGACCAACCACCAGCCATTACAGAGGTGGGCAAGCAATCAAACCAATTTCCATGAATCGGAGATAATAGTTCCCAGCTTCCCTCATTACAATTTTTGGAATGTAGCAATGTCGCTTGCTAATGTCGCATGAAAGCTGTCCCAACGTTGGAGCTAATTATCGCATCTGATTGGTATGCGACTGGGGAATTGACAACTGATTAGCGTACCGAGGAATGCTATACGATGTTCTAGGATGGAATACATGGAAAGCACACACCCACAGCAGGGTCGACAACGCCCAACGCGTAGGGTGCGAATGAGGGGGATTATTAACATACCGCTCATGTTCTCCCTCTCCTTTCTCAGGGACAAAGATGTGACCTGACTTGAATACATGTGCCACAGGGCGATCACTAGTCACAAGTCACCAATGCGAAGTCATGCCATCATTACCAAATTGATATTGCCTGATTGAGAGGCTGTACAAACGGAGCCTCAGGCATGGCGTGATAGCAAACCAGTCGCCACTTTCAGTGTGCACGCAGGGAGTACGCCATGTTAGCATGTCATCGCTACACGCTGTACTGGTGTAGGTGCAGCTCGACTGCAGGATAATCCCATTTGACGCATATTTGGCGAATATGAGCAGTGCCAGAACAAATCGCCATGTCTGCTTCTAAACATAATACCAGTGACTGTGTCTGTTCTGGATTTTGTCTGACGCAAACATAGAAATAAAACGAACTTCCAAATTAATTACCTCACAAATCAGCTTGGTGGTATTCGTAATGGAATGATGTCCCCGCCTTGTAACATCGCCTCAACCTATCATCCTCCAATCCTCTCATCCTATAACTCTCTTACCCTTTCGTCTCTATTCATCAAATGCCTTCTGGCAATCTTTGGTGTGAAGCCAGTGCCAAATCTTCGCTGTAAACAGGGAGTAGCAGGTACCCTATGCAACAGTTTTGCTGACCACATTCACCTTTCATTGCAAGGAGTACTCAGCACAAGTTATTACCTGCACTACTAGTAGTACATAGCTACACATTCATGCCCTGTCAGCATCCCAGATAATTCCACAAAACCTTCCCACACTGGAATGCTTAGCGACACTTTGGGCAGATAAAATACTTGATCATGCGGCATATGATCGACGTGGTACAGTACATGTGCCAAGAAAACACGTGACGACCTGTAGCATCCCAACGTCACCGTTGCGTTGTGCAGCTCTACTCAATTGGTATCCTGTTCAGTTTGTCTTCGTCTTTCCCTACCTTCTGTACTTTTCGCTCTTTTCCTGTGTATTGTTTCCTTTACTTCGCGAGTTGGCTGTGTGATTCTCAAAATTTAGTATACACGAACATGCATCAACATCAGACCACCTTACTCTCCCGTACGCATGCGTACTTCTACCAGTCACATTACAATACGGCTAGTCTTTGACAAGACATGGAGAGCCCGACGAAGAAACCTGAACTAATAGATTGATGGAGGGAGAGAGTACAGATTGGCGGAGATGGCTATGAATGAAACTCGCGTTTCCTGGCTGAAGCCAAGTGCAAGGCACCAAATATCATTCGCTACGAAAACGTTTAGAGTTGCAGCCATAATGTTATTTTGACACCGTGGAAATTTGTACTTCGAAGCAGTTTGATCAAGAGAGAGAGAGAAGTACGAAGGGATAAGGGGATCTGGAGAAGAAGAGATTGCAATGGAGCCCAAACGAGGGGCATCACGTCCGCTAGACATACAATTTACATGGACATGTACGAATGTTGTTTGCCGTCTATTTATGACGTCCCTTCGTGGAATACCTGTGTGCCGTCTTAGCTGAGGGTTCAACAAAGCCCTCACTGTGCAAGATGCCTGGTATCGACACAACTAGGATACATTGCTTTGGGCACCAACAGCATAGTCGAATCACCAAGTGAGCTCGACGATATCAAGCATGTTTCACGAGACGAACCCGTCTAATTTAGTACGTTGGGACCAGGATGGATAGTAGAAGAGAAGAGTGATAGTGCATTATGCCACGACGATTTCCCATTAGAGTCCGGATCTAAAGCTCTCCCCTCACGCTCACCATTTTTTCCAGTCACTGTTTGCAGATATCCTATTACGAGTATGATAATGATGGCACAAGCAGACGCACAGAAACCGCTGATACTAATACCCCGCTGTTACCACTGAGCACATGTGCGTGTTTAGACGCCTCAGGTAGCAAGAACAGCTTGACAACCTGGCCACCACACTATCGACTCAGTACAGAGACTCACAGTGGTGTGTTTTGATCCAGCTCATTGACACGAAACCTAACACCCTATGGTTAAAAGCAGTTACTTCAAGCAATCGCCACGACCGCCACCGGGTCATTGGATATATAACTCTGATGATATTGCACGTCAGCGATTACGTTCACTCACCGAAATCGAAGAAGTCTCCGCACACGGACCTTGTGCCTGTGGTCGACACTGATCGCTGGCCCGCTCTTTTCTTCGCTGGAAGTGAGAGGTTTCCGCGTCCACCACGACTCCACGAGCTAGAAAGCGACCCAGTTTGCTCGCACCAAGTCTCAAGTGCGGCTGATATCTTCACTACATCCACATGTATTCGACTGATGCTAGCAGGTCACACCTCAGTCCCAGGGTAACAACAGTGCCGACAGGGAAGCCGGATCGACTTCTTCTGCCAATGAGCTGATCGTCGGCTGGAGGAGCTAAACAAACGCCGATGCTATGCTGCGTGCGGCGGTGGAAATTTCTGCAATGTCACAGTCTTCAGCATCTGAGCTCACTTACGCTCGCCTCAGGTCTTCGGCTCTGGTATAGTTGGACGTGTCTGACAGCTCTCGTACTGTCTGCAGAGTTTTAGTGTCGGGTGATCCGGACCTAATTGTGGCATGTAAGCATGCACAGCAGCACCAATATGCAGCAGCAATCTGGACACGCGACAGAGATGTGTCTTTGCGGTGTCTCGCCGTACTCATTCGTGCCCTGCACACAGCTAGAATCTACGTTTAGCGGACTGGCAAGCTGCTACCCGTGCAATCGGGGACACTGCAGTTGTCAAGCACGTAGGCGCCGCTGGCATGCTGCTGTTCGTCATCGCGGACATGTCACAGCTGCTAAAAACGTAGGTGCACGCGAATACCTAGCTCATTTCCGAGTTAGTACATCATTTGTATCAAGCGCTGCGCAAAACTCCCGTTTTTTTAGGCCACCTTCAGCGCATCACTGTAGCGTAGGTAGAGGAGAGCTACATAACGTGTGTTAGGTAATATTAGCCTGCTGCTGGCATGGCTGGGTTGATTTGAAAACTACCAGAACACTTGAAGTGCATTGTAGAGGGATGTATGCAGCACGAGGTGCTTATCCTGTTAGCTCCGACCCACTTCTTGCGAGCAGCAGGGGTCATCCTCTTCTCGACAGTAACATGCCAGAAATCCAGTGATTGCTGGCAGGCCAGGGTGCGATAATGACACCTCTCTGACATGCTAGAGTCCGCTAAAGGCTGGTCTAGCTCCACATCTGCTGGCCACAGAAGTTGTTTCACCCTTTCCCCCGCATGTTTAGATTCAGGCTTCTGTCTGAGCCGCATCTCTCTTTTACTAGTCTTAGTCTAGGCCAGCCTAAATATTTACAATAGCTAACATAGTAGATGAAGGGAAGCATGCACACTGTAGATAGAATGATGCAATGATTTGTCACATAACGTTGTTGAGTACTACAGGCTAGCATACTTCGCAGTAGAATTGAACGTATCGTATCGTATCAGTTCACCGCAGAAACGCAGCTTGGGACATTGGTCAAGACATGATACGTGCATTCTTCGGAGTTCCCTTAACTCCGCAGAGCATTCGCCTGCTGTACGACCCCGTGTCGGAGATATGGACAGTGTTCACTGACACCTACCCACCATTATCATTATCTAAACTGTGGTGCGCATAACCCTGTGTCATCCACCAACGTGTAGTGACTCTGGCAAATCCACTTTGCTGTTATGGTTGACGTCGTTTTTATCTAAAGCCACATCGTAAACACGAACACGCACCTGTGCCTTCTGAGCTCTTACACGTGCGGAATAACGCCTTAACGGACATATAGCGCACCAGCACCGAGTTGACATGTAAACGAAGGAGCTAGCACAGGCATATTATACCACATAGTACATGTACCTGACTGTATATCACCACACTCTCCCTGTACTGTAGTGATACACTGGCATAGCTCGCACATCTGTGGTGTGGTGACCATGTACCACCGGCAACCTCATACGGTAGTCGCCATTTTGATTATTTTGACTACATGTACAATCACGTATGTACATGGTATGTGCATTATTTATGTTATTATTTTATTCTTGTTTTACTAGGGAATTCCCAACAGGCAGCGACGCCTTTTTACAGGGAACCCTACGCATTACATTGTACTGTAGTATCTATGCCAGCCATTTGCTGGTGTGGTCACCGGACTACGCTGACTGTACATGTAAACAAGATACGTGCATGGTAATACATGTACATACGGACAGCGCGGTACAGTTGCCAATGTCTGTGGCAGCGTGAGGTGCTCTCTCCCTCTCTCTCTCTCTCTGGTGTGCTAGACTTTATACAAGACCAGTGTGGATACGTACCGCCATGTTCTAACCTCGCGTTGAGCAATCCAAATCAAATTCCGCCCCGGTGAATACATTCATCATTTTCTAATCGTCTCGACGGTAACAACTCCAGCCCAGCCACACACACACATTTATAACTCTTCACCTCTAACTCCAAAAACGGTCTCTTTACTGCGAATCACGTCACATTCCACTAAATGTTTGGACTGGCGCACCATCAAGTTGAAAACATAAAGGCAATTGTCAAAAAGAACTCAGATGGTGAGCCAAGGAAAAATATTGCAACATGGACAACTGCGAGCACAAGTTATGCGATCGAGCCCAGGCTGGTTTAGTTGGTGGCCTGGATCGCATAACTTGTGCCTACATTTTTCCATTTTGCAATTGCTCCGTCTACATCCATTTTCAGCCTTTCTCTTCTTTCACTGACTCATTGTGACCTTCACTACCGACATTGTACGTGGCCTAACTCCCAGCGGATGCATCGTATCCATCATACTGGCTGCCCGTGTTGCGTTGGAGAAGCGATACACACCGGTAAGTAATTCAACCTGCACAATGCAATACACTGAACGCTCTTTAGAAGGTCGTTCAGTTCTTCACGCATCTTCCTACTCAACTGCAGCCTAGTCCACATTGACAGCTACTGACCATTCGCCCTCGGGGCTTCATCAGGGAGCACTCTATTTGATTGTATTGTATTGCATTGCTTGACTATTCTACTTCGAAGTACAGAGTACAAGTAACCTGGTCAGTGGTCTCAAAACAAGCACCCTCACTCCCTCCCCTTCCTGGACAGATGTCAGCACAGCAAACGTTGTCACCACAAGTATTTTCCATTGGCGTGTAATGCTCCACCTGACCTGACCTCCCCGACATCAAACTTCACACAATTTGTAAATAACCTACACTATAGCGCTAGTCTTCGAACACCAGTCTCGTGACTTCATGAGTATCGATACATGTACATGATGTGTACTACTTCAAGCACATGTATTATAGTTATCTACTCGTGCTAGACATCAGTGAGATAGCATTTCCCACCCTCTTCTGAATAACTGCTTGTACTTTGAATTCAAGTATGGCCGAAGGCGAATGTGGCACTGTATTGCACATCACCTCTTACAATCCCAACTTTCTGGCCATCTTTCATATTCTCACTGTCGTGTTTCGAGTTCTTTCTCTAACGCAGTATCGCCTCTTCTATTTCGCTCCCTCTATTGTTCTCTCTATTTCTATATTCTATCTAATTCTCTCTCTTTCTTTCTCTTCCTCTCTATCTTTTTTTAAATCTCACTGCTAGTCTCTCTCTCACTCTCTCTCTCTCTCACTCTCCCTCTCCCTTTCCCTCTCCCTCTCCCCCCCTCTCTCTCTCGTCTCCCGGCTGGCACATAATATGCTTCAACGGATACCGGATGCGTGTTATGCACTTGAAGAAAGGGATGCCTCTCTCTCTCTCTCACACACACAAAACAGACAACAATGGTAGCCATATCGGCAAGCTGCCACGTTAATCACCGGATGATTAGCCACCAGGAAGGAACACATATACACAAGTACATGTTTGTGTAGCACAGTACCTTGTGACAATGAATTGCTATGGTCAAATACATGGAGCCTGTGCCCCTCGCTGAAGAACTTGAACCAAGCGTTTTGAATTTGCGGCTCCCGAAATGTAGCATGAATTCTGTGCCAACACATACATTGACATGTTAACACAATGGTCACTCACCGTGTCAACTTTCAAGCCGCTGGCCTGAGGCTAATTACGGAGCGAAGCAGAATCCAGCAGAATATTCGAGTCGGTTGACAAGTAAAGGAGCTACTCTATAACGAATAAAATTTGTAAGGGTAGTTTAGAACCAGATCTCCCGAGCTACATGCCACGGGACACTGGAATGGAGGGAAATGAGTTGTGAGTCTTTTCCATAGTGGAGCGTCGGTGATATAGGTGAGATCTCTTCTCTGCCCTTTGCTGGTCTCGCTCAAGTTCTCGCCGCAGGTCTAGCACCCTGGCGCATGGCCATGGCCTGCCTCATCAACGTGCGAAGTGTTGTAAGTGTGAGTTGCGATAGCAGAGCCACTGGCACGGCATTATCATGAGTGAGTGCTGCGTGATTTCGGCTGTCTAAAGTAGGCAGGCCATGTTCGCATTGGATCATTGTGGCTACTGGCAATTTAGCGGGCATTGTGCATGCTACGGACACCACCACCTTTCTGAATGCTTTGGATAGTACTAACTTGTCATACGGCGGTAGTAGTAGCGGTAGTGAAGCCTTTTGCACGGGCACGCACATCATACAAACTAAAGACTTGGTATAGTTTTTGCTCGTGCAACACATGGACACTGAGGTGAGAAGGTGGCAACGGGGTGGTGTGAATTGCATGCTGATTCAAGGTACACTGTCTGTGCAGAGTTGCATCGTCCACACGGGGCGCGTGACCAGTCGTTCAGGCTCGACTACCAGGTGATACTGATATGTGGTGGTGTGTTCGGAAGCAGCCTGATCTGGGCATGACACTTTCCACCCATGCTGCCGCCTCTCATCACCTGACCGTGACGTCATTACCAACGGCGCAGGTGTGGAGCAGTTGCATGTTCATGTAGTTCATACATATAGACAGCTCATTTCTTATCACGGTCTAGTACTAATAGTCTATCCTTTGAACTGAAGCTAAGACCAAGTCCATCTGGGGCATCACACTTGGATCCACAACATGTTGCAACTAACTTACTATACTTACAAGCAAGTCCTTAGGTACTAGTAGTGAAACTTTAGTGGCTTTCCCCCGGGTGTCTACGGAATTGTCACATGATAACAATACGCTGCAAACATGCTGGTATTGGCGGGTTTGGAATTTGGACATCTGCAGGGCTGTTACGGTAGTCTACGCCAGTCAACGGATCGGCTTATTAAGGCCTTGTTCTGAATAAATCAGTTGATAAGCATATTTTGGCGGAAAAGGAATTCGAATTGTGAAGTTGTGTACGTACAAGTGTACCGTGTGGTTGACCCTTATGCCGTTATGGTGCTTTGACAAAGGGAGCATTTAGGCCAGTGTCATCGGGCGTCAAGCAATATGAGAGAGATAGAGAGATAGAGAGAGATAGAGAGAGAGAGAGATAGAGAGAGAG